AACCACTTTTGTGTAAGGGGCTCGCCACATTATGAGGAACTGTATTAAAGGGTCTCGGCTTTAGGAAGGTTGAGAACCACTGCATTTGGTAAAAAATGTATGTGTGGGTGGGGGGGCACTTTAAACATGAGAACCACTGCAGTGAATTTTGGTCCTTCTCAATATAAGACATGACAAGATATCAATAATCTGCGCACATTTTTATGTACATTTTAAATATGCAGATCTGGCCAGTCTGTCCTGAAATGTCCTCAAACCAGTGGGTCTCAATGTGGGGTGCTAGGTCTTCACCGACTAGCAGCGCTGGTGTGCTAGAGGCTACATTTAGTATAGCGCAGTCAAATACATGGACCACAATCATAATCTAATAGAAATATTTGGAGGGCAATGGCCATAGAAGTAACACATGGCATTGTTTTTATTTTATGACAGTTTTGTTTGTACGTGGGTAGAGGAAAGAGTTGAATGCTTTTGACGATTGGTCGAATGAGCAACAATAATGGAAAATAAGGGTTCCTTTGGAAATAATGGAAAATAAGGGTTCCTTTGGAAATAATGGAAAATAAGGGTTCCTTTGGAAATAATGGAAAATAAGGGTTCCTTTGGAAATAATGGAAAATAAGGGTTCCTTTGGAAATAATGAAAAATAAAGGCTACTTTGGAAATAATAGAAAAGGAGGATTACCTTGGAAAAAATCGAAAAGAAGGGTTAATTTGGAAATAATGTAAAATAAGGGTTAATTTGGAAATAATAGAAAAGGAGGGTTTTAATTTGAAAAAAAAAATGGAAAAGAAGGGTTAATTTTTAAAAAATGGAAAGGAATGGTCAATTTGAAAAAAATAAATGTAAAACTAGGATTAATTTGAAAAAATGGAAAAGAAGGGTTAATTTGAAAAAAAAATGGAAAGAAATGGTCAAATTTGAGAAAAATAAATGTAAAACTAGGGTTAATTTGAAAAAATGGAAAGAAGGGTTAATTTGAAAAAAAAAATGGAAAGGAATGGTCAATTTGAAAAGAAAATTGGAAAAGTAGGGTTAATTTGAAAAAATGGAAATAAAGGGTTATTTTGAAAAAAAAATGGAAAATAAGGGTTAATTTGAAAAGAATGTGGAAAAAAGGGTTAATTTTAAAAAAAATGGAAAGAAGGGTTAATTTGAAAAGATGGAAACTACAAAACATTTTGTTTTAAAAGACAAGAAATTTTCACCTGCAATGTCGCGTGTCAGGTAAAATGGCATGGGATTTATTTCTGGTCAAAACACTGCTCAAAAACTGTTCCACCGTTTAAAAGAAATCTGAGAACCATTGGTCTCACCGGGGTTTAGAAAAATTGTCACCTACATCTCTGGGTTAGAGTTTGATCACTCTTACAAAGACCAAGTCTGTCATCGCTTATCGGCGTCTGCCCTGTGTGGGGAAAAGTCTAGTTGATGTAAGCAGATGTTGTTGATGTAAGCATGTGTTGTTGGTCGCGGTTTTAGCCGTATGCGCATAAAATTTAAGGGATTACTAATTGCACGTTTTGTTGTTTTTTTTTTTGGGGGGGGGGGCGTGGGGGAGGATAGTGGTTCTCAAAATTTGTTTACGTCGTTCCACGGAGCTCGCATGATATTTTTTTTGAG